AACACCTACAAGATCTCTATCAAGCATTCTTAAAAGTACCCTACCCACCTGCTGAAGTGAAGAAACAGATTGACAGAGCCAGGAGAATACACAGAAGTCACCTACTCCAGGACAGGCCCAACAAAGAAAGTAACAGAACGCCACTAGCTGTCACCTTCAGCCCCCCAACTAAAACCTCTCCAGCGCATCATCAAGGATCTACAACCTATCCTGAAGGACGATCCCTCACTCTCACAGATCTTGGGAGACAGGCCAGTCCTCGCTTACAGACAGCCCCCAAATCTGAAGCAAATACTCACCAGCAACCACACACCATACAACAAAAACACTAACCCAGGAACCTATCCTTGGAACAAAGCCTGTTGCCAACTGTCCACATATCTATTCAAGGGACACCAGAATAGAACCTAATCACCTCAGCCACACCATCAGAGGCTCGTTCACCTGCACATCTACCAATGTGATATATGCCATCATGTGCCAGCAATGCCCCTCTGCCATGTACATTGGCCAAACCGGACAGTCTCTATGCAAAAGAATAAATGGACACAAATCAGACATCAAGAATTATAACATTCAAAAGCCAGTCGGAGAACACTTCAACCTCCCGGGTCACTCAATTACAGACCTAAAAGTCGCAATTCTCCAACAAAAAAACTTCAAAAACAGACTCCAACGAAAAACTGCAGAATTGGAATTAATTTGCAAACTGGACACCATTAAATTAAGCTCGAATAACGACTAGGAGTGGATGGGTCATTACACGAAGTAAAAACTATTTCCCCATGCTAATTTTCCCCCTCCTGTTACTGACACCTTCTTGTCAACTGTTGGAATGGGCCATCCTGATTATCACTACAAAAGTTTTTTTTCTCCTGCTGATAATAGCCCACCTTAATTGATTAGTCTCATTATAGTTGGTAAGGCAACACCAATTTTTTCATGTTCTCTGTGTATATATATATTCCTAATGTATTTTCCACTGCATGCATCCCATTAAGTGGGTTTTAGCCCACGAAAGCTTATGCCTAAATAAATTTGTTAGTCTCTAAGGCCTGGTCTACACTGGAGGGGGGGAGGGAAATCGATCTAAGATACGTCGATTTCAGCTACGCTATTCTCATAGCTGAAGTTGCGTATCTTAGATCGACTTAGAATCACTTACTTTGCATCCTCGCGGCGCGGGATCAATGGCCGCAGCTCCCTGTCGACTTTGCTTCCGCGTCTTGCCGAGCTGGAGTTCAGCAGTCGACGGGAGAGCGATCGGAAATCGATCCCCGATAGATCGATTGCTACCCGCCGATCACCGGTACCCTAAGGTGCCACAAGTACTCCTCGTTCTTTTTGCTGATACAGACTAACAGGGCTACCACTCTAAAATCTTTATTTTCTGCCTTTCTCTCTGTTATCTACAGCATGACAGTGTTATCTGATTTCATTTAAGATAACTGGAATTAGCTGTTGAGACTGTTAAGCAGGGTAGTTGCTACTGGGACATATCAGAGAAAAGGACTGTGATCTCTTTTTATTTCAGAGGAGTTAGGAGTAGAGTAATTGCTTCAGTATCTGGATCTCAATCCAACTCCCACTGAAGCCCATGGAAATATTCCCATTCAGTGGGAGTTAGACTGGCTCTCTGGTAGGGACACAGGGATTTCAATTCCTCCCTTTTCCCAAACCCAAACAGTGCCTAACAGGAGCTGGTGATTGCCAATGGGGGGACAGAGAGCCAAGTGCCCAGAATATTGCTAAGTCTTGTTAGAGTGTAAGTGATTAGAGTCTGAAGAGTATGCATCAATGGCCTTCGGAACAAGGTTTATAATGGCCTACTATTGTTACTGATGCTTAGCAATACTGAACAGGTAAGCTCTCTAAAATATTTCAAAACACATTGACCAGATCCTCAGCTGGTGTAAATCACTGTAGCACTATTGAAGTCAATGGAAGTAGGTATATTTACACCAGAGGAGGATCTAACCCCCTCTCCAGAGTTAAGCAAATAGAGGAAGCTGCTACTGAGGAAGGCACTTGTTTCTGTTTTAACAAATGTGAAGAATGTCCGATTCCTGAGAACTGCTGTTTAGTAATGAAATAGCTGCTCCCCTTTGAGCTTTGTAACCATCTCACACTGCAACAGGCAATTTACTGAAAAACAACTATCCTTGACTTTATACATAATGACATTTACCTCCTCAGAGGGAAATGTTTCAGCTGTCTTAGGCTATGTCCTCACTACGGGGGAGGTGGGTGGGAGTTAAGATACGCAAATTCAGCTACACGTATAGCGTAGCTGAATTCGACGTATCGGAGCTGACTTACCCCGCTGTGAGGACGGCGGCAAATCGAACTCTGTGGCTCCCCTGTCGACGGCGCTTACTCCTACCTCTGCTGGTGGAGTACAAGCGTCAATTCGGGAATCGAATGTCGCGTCCTAACGAGACGCGATAATTCGATCCCTGAGAGATCGATTTCTACCTGCCGATTCAGACGAGTAGTGTAGATGTAGCCTTAGCTATAGACTTTGATCCAGCATAACTACAAGCCATTATTCTTTCACATTATTCCACATTGCCTATCCCTTTCCACTGAATTCATACCCAACACACAAGTCAGTGTAGTTAAACTGCATGACACCGCTCTGCATTTTCTAGTAATAAGATTTTGATTTCTGGGATCCCAGAAACATAAATTTTCCTGGAGACCTCTTTAAGAGAGAGAAGTTAGGTTTTTCCAAAACTAAGCAACGCTTTCAGGCCTGTAGTTAATTTCTAATTGCCTGCCTTGGGTATGTGTGAAAGCCCATATTGTTATTGATGATGACTAAGGCTGTGAGTCTGTCTCGGAGGTCACGGATTCCATGACTTTCCAGGACTTCTGCATCAGCCGCTGCTGGGGCAGTCTCGGACCACCGCGCCCCTCCCCTGCAGAAGCAGCAGGAGTTTGGGTGTTGGAAGGGGCTTGGGGCTGAGGCAGAGGATCGGGGTGCAGGAGGGGATGGGGGCTCTGGGCAGTACAGTGTTTGTAGGACTGGAGCCTTGGATGGTAAACTCTTTGGGACAGAGTGTTTTCCTATATGCAGTGCTTAGCACAATGGGCACCTGATGCTGACAAGAGAGTCTCATAATACAAATTAAACGGGTTTAGCAGAATTTAATTTTTTTTATAACTTTCAGAGATAATAGTGATGGGGTTTAAAGCTGTTTTTTAGATTTTTATCCATTTAATTTTTCACAGTACAAAATTATGGGGGAGTGTGAGACAATAATTAGTGTGACTCAAAAAGTTAAAGCTTTATAACCAAACACAAACACCCTATGTCACAAGATACAAAGTAAATATCTTTAAATCAAACTCTGAGTTCTCAAGCAGCATTTTTCTTATTGTGCCTATTTGTAAATTTTGATTGTTATCGATGACATTTTTTTTTTTTGGTCAGTTTGTGTGCGTAGGATGAAAGCAACACTTACTGAAAAAAATCTAATCTGCCAAACCTAAAATTAACCAATACACTTAGGCCACACACACCTCTTAGTTTCACTGCACAAGGTTTTTTTTCCAGCTATCTGTGCCTCTAGATCTCTTTATGAATTTCAGCAAAATGCATTGACAGTAGATGAGGAAAGGATTCTTGCTCTGTTTATTGAGTGTGCGTGACTGAATGCACCCCTGTATTCACACCCTACACAATATTCTAATAAGTTTTGTACAAAATATTCTTTTTTTTTAAATGTATGAAGTATCATTTGAAAACTAATAACTCACTGTTCAATAATATCATGGTGAAATGTTTGTAGCAACATTATATGTAAAGGTATAAACATAAGCTAAAATTAGGTCTGAAATGTGTTTATCAGACAAGTCTGGATAAACCAGTTTCTGAAAGACAAAGGACAAGCTGATTCCTCTAACCAGCTGTCATCAAAGTTAGATGAACAATCACCTGTCAAATGGCCATTCTTTGGCAAGGAAGTGGGGCAAGAACAAACATCAGTATTTTAGCAAGAAACATGGAAACGCTTCCACCAGGAGCCTCCTTGTTTACTCCTCAGGAAAATGAATTTGAAAGGCAGACTAGTTTATAAAGCGAGGAGCAAAAACACCCCAAGGTATCCTCCCCTAAGAAAACAAAGGATGCAGCTACTTGATTTTGGGAGAGATACTGACCTGAAATGTGGTCAGCCCTATTGCTGGGAGCATGTGGTAGGAATTTAATCTTGAACCAAGTTTAGTTTAAGTGATAGGACTAGAAAGCGTTTGATCTTTTTCTCTCATAATCATTTTTTACTTTAATGCTTGTACTTGTACTGACCTAAGTTAAATAAACTTATTTTAGTCTTTAATCAAACTATGCCATTCAACTTTGGGTAACTTCAATTAAAGCAGCAAACAGCTGAATATTGTTCTCTTACAGGGGCAATGGACCTAAACTACATGAACTGCCCAGGAGAGGGCTGCACACTGCAGAACACACGGTTTTTTGGGGGGAAGTTTAGGACTGAGAGTGTGTTGGGAGCACCCTGCACCTGGTAACCAGGAGTGGTGGAAGCCACCTCTGGCTGCAGCTATCTGCAGACACTCAGGGTGTGATGGGCATGCTGTTTGGGAGGGACCCAGGCCCAGCCCAGGTTAGGTGCTCCAGCGTGAGGAACCCGACGTTGCAGGGAAGAAGGTGGTGACACAACCCCTCACTGGCCCCACTTGCACGAGGGGATGTCCTAGTGTGTGTACATGACTAATATGAGCGACTCCCCAGGGTCCCCGAAGGGCTTCAGTAGCTGCGCCCCAGCGTGCCTGCCAGAGGATGTTACCGCCCCCCAATCCCAGGTGCGGTGCCTGCCTCGCTGCTGGGCAGGTGTCGAAGGCAGGAAGCGCCGCTTGGCCACCACCGAGCCCCGGGGAAGGGGTCGGGTTATAACGTCAGCCCAGGAAAACTGTCCCCAGCCGCCAGCAGCAGCCACACGCCTGCCCGCCCCGGGCCCCGCCCCTGGCTCATGCTCCGGAGCAGCTGCAGGGCCCCGCGGCCAGGGCGGAGGCGCGCTGGGGGAGGCAACAGGCGGGGCGGGGCGGGGAAGGAAGGGACGGCCCGCTGCTGGCGGCTGAAGTGAAGCGGCGCTGGGCTGGGCGGGGGGCGTCCTCTCGCCGTTCGCGGGGGTGTCGGGCACCGCTCCGCGGCGCTACTGGCGCCGAAGGCAGCAGCGGAGGCTCCTCTCCCCTTCGCCGCCGCCGGAGACCCAGTGCTGCCCCGCTGCGCCCGCTCGCTCCATCGCACGCTGTTGTCATGGAGGAGCCAAGATGGCGGCCCTGGCCTACACCCTAGGCAAGCGGGAGATCAACCACTACTTCAGCGTGAGGAGCGCCAAGGCGCTGGCGCTGGGCGCCGTCCTGCTGCTCGCCGCCTGCCACGCCGCCTTCCGCCGCTACCGAGGTGAGGGGAGGACACGGCGCTGGGAGCCCCGCGGGGGAGGAGCCCCGGGACACTGGGGAGCCGGGCTAAGGTCCGCGGGGGGAGCCGGAACCCGCCGCAGCGCCGAGGGAGGCATCCTGTGGGTCGCTCTTCCCCCGCGCCTCCTGCCTTGCAGGGGCACCTGGGTGCTGTCCCCGGCGTAAGGCGCTGCGGCTCCCGGCACCAGCCGCGGGACGGACCCGAGCCCCCCTGCGCAGAACGGGCGCCCCAGGGTCCGGGCAGGGTGGCTGGGTGCCCCGCGGCTGATGCCCGCAAGCTGGTGTCACACCGCTTTGAGGCATGGGGACGAGGGGTGGCTCCTAAACTTCGCCATAGTTGAGCATCATCTTCCTCCCCCCGTTACTTGTTATCGGAGCCGAGCTGTTCGCACGGACTGTACCTACTAGGGCAGCGCACGACGGGGACACCTTTTGCCTGGGGAGGTAATTGAAATTGGCTGGTGTGTTTAGTCAGGTCCCCGCCCTGAGGACCTGGCAGTCTAGGACGCTCCAGTGCAAACAGTTAAGAGAGGGGGAGTGAAAATAGAAAGCCCTAGCTGAGCCGGCACTGGGAGGCGTGGGGGGGAGAGGAACGAGTTTTGGAGGACAGGGAATGAATCCGAACTCCCATGGATGCTATTTAAAATGGTGGATGGCACCAGCGTGCTATACACTAGCCCCTGGCTTTGTTCAGATTGGACTAGACAGTCAACAGAAATATGCCTTGGTCTCAAACACCTTGCAGACTTCTTCTCCTCCCTCCCCCCCCCCCCCAAAAACCTGCATAGGTTGCTAGGGTTGCAAGGGATTTACAATTATGTGTGGTGGTGTTCACCTCTAGGCCACATTTTTCCAGTATAGGCTCAGTCTGTTTCAGAGATGTCAAGGAATGTAATGAACACCCTGTGTGGGTAGAGGTGGGGTAGGGATAGGGTGTGGCGAGGGGGTCTGTGTACAAATCAAAACCAGCAAAATGTCTGCTGTTTTCCAAAAGGTTGATGAATAATCACAGTGTTGGGTTGGATCACAGAAACCCCCTTTGGGCTGCCAACTGATGTGCCAAGACTACTTCTGCCCCTGCTTTCCCTGTCCGCTTGGGACTCCAGCACCCTGTCTTGTTGAGCCAGACACACCAGTTTGCTCCAACACAGAGAGACCAAGGATCAGAACCACGTGCCCCAAAGCTGCAGACTTAACTGAAAGCCACTTAAGAAGTGTTCCTGTCTTTAACACTCAGATACTCAACTCCCAATGGGGTCCAAACCCCAAATAAATCTGTTTTCCCCTGTATAAAGCTTATACAGGGTAAACTCATAAATTGTTCGCCCTCTATAACACTGATAGAGAGAGATGCACAGTTGTTTGCCGCCCCCCACCCCCCCGGTATTAATACATACTCTGGGTTAATTAATAAGTAAAAAGTGATTTTTATTAAATACAGAAAGTAGGATTTAAGTGGTTTCAAGTAATAGCAGACAGAGCAAAGTGAATTACCAAGTAAAATAAAATAAAACCTGCAAGTCTATTCCTAATATAGTGATAAAAAACTGAATACAGATAAAATCTCACCCTCAGAGATGTTTCAAAAAGTTTCTTTCAGAGACTGGATGCCTTCCTTATCTGGGCACAATCCTTTCCCCTGGTACAGCCCTTGTTCCAGCTCAGGTGGTAGCTAGGGGATTTCTCATGATGGCCGCTCCCTTTGTTCTCTTCCACCCACTTATATAGCTTTTGCATAAGGCGGGAATCCTTTGTACCTCTCTGGGTTCCCACCCCTCCTTCTAAATGGAAAAACACCAGGTGAAAGATGGATTCCAGTTCAGGTGACATGATAACATGTCACTGTAAGACTTCATTACCCACTTGCCAGCATACAGGTATACAGGAAGACTTGCAAGTAAAACAGAGCCATCTACAGACAATTGTCCTGGTTAATGGGAGCCATCAAGATTCCAAACCACCATTAATGGCCCACACTTTGCATAACTACAATAGGACCTCAGTGTTATGTTTCATATTTCTAGTTTCAGATACAAGAGTGATACATTTATACAGATAGGATGACCACACTCAGTAGATTATAAGCTTTGTAATGATACCTTACAAGAGACCTTTTGCATGAAGCATATTCCAGTTACTTTATATTCACACTCATTAGCATATTTTTATAAAATCATATAGAGTGCAACATCACAATCACTCTTTGCTAATTTCTCAAGTTTTCAAGTGAAATTGAAACTGTATGAGGAAGAGAGAACCCTGTCACAGGAGTGGATATGAGTTTCTTAGATAACACCAAGCACTGCTGATCATATAAAACCTTAAAAGATTAAGAAGATTGCATGTGTCTTTTTTGAGAGAAATCAGAAGATTGTGCATTAATAATTTGCTACAGCCAGTAAAAATGTGTTTTATTCCTCTTCTATGCTTATTAAAAACAAACAAACTTTTAATTAATTATGTACTTAAAAGAGCATCGGACTAGATCGGGGTGGGCAAACTTTTTGGCCTGAGGGCTGCAGTGGGTTTTATAAATTGTATGGAGGGCCGGTTAGGGGAGGGGGTCGTGGCCCGGCCCCCACCTCCTATATGCCGCCTCCCCCCCTCCCCCCCAACTCCTGCCCATCCAACCCCCCTGTTCCCTGATGGCCTCTCTGGGACCCCTGCCCCATCCACACACACCCCGCTCCCTGTCCCCTGACTGCCCCCAGATCCCAGCTGCCCCAGCCAACCTCTCCTCTCATTCCTGACGCCCTCCCCGGGACTCCTGCCCCATCCAACCCCCCTCCTTCCTGACTGCCCCCCGGAACCACTGCCCCCATTCAACCCCCTGTTTCCCCTGACTACCATCCACACCCCCGCCCCCTGACCACCACCCGGAACTCCCCTGCCCTCTATCCAACCCCCTCTGCTCCCTTACCGCGCTGCCTGGAGCACTAGTGGCTGGTGGTACTACAGCCGTGCTGCCCAGCTAGAGCCGGGCAACGCTGCCGCCACCACACAGCACAGAGCACCAGGTCAGGCTGGACTCTGCAGCTGCGCTGCCCCAGGAGCGCGCTGCCCCAGGAGCTCACAGCCCCGCAGCCCAGAGCATTGCACCAGCGGCAGAGTGAGCGAGCTGAGGATGCGGGGGAGGGGGAACAGCAGGAGAGGGGCCGGGGCTAGCCTCCTGGGCCAGGAACTCGGGGACCAGGCAGGACGATCCCGCAGGCCGGACGTGGCCTGCGGGCCGTAGTTTGCCCACCCCTGGATTAGATTGTTGGCTCAGACTTCTTGTATGTTGAGGCTTGCTTCCTAAATCAAGTAATGGGTCATTACCTGATCCTTTAGATAAGGGACAAAAACCTTTATGATTTGCTTAGTCAAATGTGCAGTGCTAAATGTGGAGACAATTAGTCAATAATATACTTTTTCTCTGTGATGGTAAAGACTAGTATTGTGGACTGTTAAAACAGTGAGCATTAGAGTGGGACAAGAAAGGCAATAGCCAGTCACTAGAAAAGCATATGAAAAAGTGGGCAATCCTAAAAATGGGTAAAGACATATGAAGATGGGGGAAATTATAATGTATAATGATCACTACTACTAAACAATATCATGTTCTCCAAATAGGGGGGAATGGAGGTTAGTATAATTTTAATGTTTTTTAACTAGTAATTGGATACTATGTAATTTTTTGGTGACTAACCTGTCCTTTCACCCTTGTCCCTTAGTCCAGTGGCTCTCAATCTTTCCAGACTACTGTACCCCTTTCAGGAATCTGATTTGTCTTGTGTACCCCAAGTTTCACCCCACTTAAACGCTACTTGCTTGCAAAATCAGACATACAAACGTATCACAGCATGCTATTACTGAAAAATCGCTTACTTTCTCAGTTTTACCATAGAATTATAAAATATATCAATTGGAATATAAATATTGTACTTACATTTAAGTGTATAGTATGTAGAGCAATATAAAAAGCCATTGTATGAAATTTTAGTTTTTACTGACTTTGCTAGTGCTTTTTATGCAACCTGTTCTAAAACTAGACAAATGTCTAGATGAGTTGATGTATCCCCTGGAAGACTTCTGTGTACCACCACGGATACGCATACCCATGATTAAGAACCACTGCCTTAGTCTGCAGAAATACGTGACTACTCACATGAGTAAAGCATGTGTGTAAATGTTCGCTTTAGCTTTTATTGCCTCAATGGTCTTTTTCTGCTTTTGACTGAGGAGATGTTGTACTTGCTAAATGTTTTTGATTAGATTTTGTTTTCTATTGAAACATGGTAAAATTGCTCTGATTGCATGTTTGGAAGAAAAGTTAGTAGGAGAATGATGGGAAATTGTCGGTCTTATTGGCTAATTTTGGCCCTAATCCTGCAACTGTACATGGGAGGAATCTAACAGATGTAAGGGCTTGTCTACATTGGCATTTTACAGCGCTGCAACTTTCTCGCTCAGGGGTGTGAAAAAACATACCCCTGAGCGCTGCAAGTTTCAACGCTGTAAAGTGCCAGTGTAGACAGTGCACTAGCGCTGGGAGCTGCGCTCATAGGGTTCCAGCGCTGGGAGCTACACCCCTTATGGAGCTCTCTCCTAGCACTATGCCACGACTACACAAGCCGCGGCAGCGCTTTAACGTGGCCAGTGAAGACGTGCCCTAAGTAATCTATTACATTCAGTGAGACTATCCACTAGTGTAAAAATGATCATGTAAGTGAAGGACTGTGGCCTGTACGTGGAGGCAAGGGAAGCTTTCCTACTTATAAAGAGACAAACTAAAATTTGATACAGCTTTCAAATTAACTGCTAATGATGAGAGATGTGGATTCAAAGAACTTAGTTATAAGCTTTGATAGAGAAACTGTCTTTATTCAAAATTGTATGAAAACTAGTCCTCCAGAGTATTCACTTGCCTAATTGTTTATAAAGTGTCACAAATCTTAGCATAAATATTGTGTATTTTGTCATCTTAGTAATATATATGTCAAA